GGGAGGAGGGGGCGGTCAGCGCCTCTGCGGGCGCCCTGCGAGAGGGCAGGGGCGCAGGTGTGCTGCGGGGTGCCGAGCGGTGTCGTGGGAAGGGGTTTGACGGGGCGCCTGGCGAGAGGCACTTAAAGAGATCCCGTGGGTGAGCTGTTGATGAAAAGGCAGGAAACCAAGCGGGAAGAAAGAGGTTTCTCCGCAAGGGGAGGGAGTGTCACCAGGTGGGCCCCAAAAGGCTTCTCTGCTGCAGCCTGCTCACAGGCCTAAACGTCCCGAGAAAGGAAGGAGGTGGCAAGGGTGAGAGACTGCAATCAGAAGCAAATTCAAGGGGATAACTAAGGTGTCTTGAAAGGATCTTGTCGTGCCAAGTGGGCAGTAACGTGAAGTTCCGTGTTAAATAAGTGAAAAGTCATACATACGCGGAAAATCACCTTAACTGTACTTAGCGATTTATATATATATATGGACATGTCTTGTCATTTACGAAAGATTTTTGGAGGGTGCATTTTTCTGTGTAAACATCGTGACTGGCAGCTGTCAAAAAGGCAGATGGAAAGTTACAAACTAATTAGGACAGCACTAAAGAACAAGACAAAAAATTCACCCCTTGACCACTCCAGTACACTGTTTTCAGTGTTGCGTGCAGTTCTGGTCCCCTCCATCACGGAAAGCAGATTGTGAAATTGGAAAAAGACTGCTGGGGACAATGAGAGATACAGAATGGTTTCAGAATAAAGGAAAACCAAATAGACTAGGACTTGCATCATATTGTTGAAGCTGTGCACTAACTTCTTAATTTCATTTTTTAGAATGATAATAAAGAAAAAGAGAAAAGAAGCTCATGAGGAACCTGTACAGAAAAAGAAAAAGGTGAAAAGTAGTAGGAGCCAGACTATCATTAAAATTGAGAAAGATGTTCAAACCGTCATTAAAACTGAGGATGATGACCAGCTTGAGACAAAAACAAAGGTAAGGAAAAAGGAAAATTTAAAAGATAATGAATGTTTAGACCAATTAGAACTGAAGAAGAAGAAAAACAAGAAAAAGAAATTTGGCTCTGAATTACTCAAAGAAGAACATTCAGAAGGCTTTGTGAATATAGAAGGCCATCTGGATTCAGAACCTCAAGAAGAATCAGAGGAACAAATTAAAATTCCCAAAAAGAAGAAAAAAAAAGTCCAATGTCATTCCTTCTTATCATTGGAGAATAATCAGAGTAGTGATGTGGAGCTTTCAAATCATCATACAGATGGTACTGAGGAAAATGAATTTGCTTTTAAAAAAAGCCGAAAGATTACCACTTTGAATTCAGAATTGCATGGTGAAGTAACTAAGAAAAAAAAGAAGAAAGGTATTTTTTCTTTTTCATTAGAGGACATCCAGGACAGTGAACATAAACAGTCTGAAAAAGTTCATAAAAAAACACACAAATACATTTCACAAGAAAAAGCTTTTATGGGCGAAAACTGTGGAACAGACATCACCCAGAATGATGGGGAGAGTTATGTGAGAAGAAAGAAGAGGAAGAAAAAGAAAGAGAAGTCCAACTCCTTTTTCCCACTAGCAGATAATCAGGACATCTATGGAGTTCCTGATAGCCCCATTGCATTAAGTGACTTAAGAAAAAGGCAAAGAAAGAATTCCCAGGAAATGACATTGACAGAGAGAGAGGAAGAGGGCAGTACTGAGAACTCCAGAAGTATCAGAGAGACCAAGAGGAAGAAGAAGAGAAGCAAAGATATTTCTTCCTTAACATGTGAAGATAATCAAGACTACAGTCACAGAGTTCCTGATAAGCATCTCTCAGCACAGCAAAAAGTTGAGTCTGAGGAAGAAGAACTTTCTGGAGAAAAAAGCAGGAAGAATATCAAGGATAATAATGAAGTTACCAAGAAGAAAAAGAAAAAGAAGATTCAGAAAGAGGAGGAAGAAACAACATACTCAAAAGTTTCTTTAAACAGTGACAGTGCATCTAAAAGCCAAAAAATGACACTACTAGAAAGCAATAAAAAGAACAAAGAGAGCAAAATGAAGCAAGCTGAATGTGTCAGAGGGGACGCTGTAGGTGGGGTGTTATGCAATAGTAATCATATGCTGTGTGACAGAAAAAGAAAAAAAAGAAAAAAAGAAGTACCACAGGACTTCGCTGAAGAACCAGGTTCAAAAGCAAATACAAAAAAGAAAAAGATCAAAACAGAAGACATGGGAAATGAGGCACTGGTAAGTTGTAAAGAAGAGGGTATCTTTGCACCCTCCTGCTAAGGAAGTGAAAGCTTTTTAGGTAGACAGTTTCCTATTTTGCAGGCTGTTCTGCCTGTTCAGACCCTTAGGTTACGTTTAGGTCAATAGGGGCCTCCTCTGGGTTTGGAGAAGCAGGATCAGCTGATCTATTGATTTCAGCACATAATAGTTGTGAAACATGGGAAAGTATTTTTTAATGCCTACTGCTGTAGTCATCCAGTGTTTCAATTGTGAAAATGTAAATATTACAACTAACAGCAAGTATTGGCACAAAAAGAAAACTAGTATGTACAGTCATAAATGTTCTTCTATCCCTCCTCCAGTTGCTCTTAGCAGAGTGGCAACACTCTTATAAAATAGGATTTTAACACCATGTCATTTAACCTGAGCAGGTTGGTAACACTGGCAGCATGAATGCATCTAACTGTGTGTGTTAGACTTTTCCTCAAGCTTTTACTGCTGTTAATGCTGGAATTACGTAGTGTTAGAAACGAGGGGGAAATTTAGCCAAAACCTGTTGTCTAACTTGGACAAAACTTTAGAGAAAATCCTAAGAATCCTAAGTGTAGACTAGGCCTAGAGCATTGATATACAAATTCTGATAGAAAAAATACCAGAGAACAACCTAAACACAAATTCTTAATTAAAAAAATGAATCTATGCAAGAAAATAAATAGCTATAAGAGCTGTGTAACTTATAACTGAAGGTAACTGGAATTGTATCCAGACTGACTGCTAATGGAAAGCCCATCCCAAAGTCTTGCAGTACTGCCATTTCTGAGGTGAAACAAACATGGAGAGGAACTGATGAAAGATTTGAAATACAGAGGTTTCTTCTTTGATTTTTTTTCAAAAAATTAGACTATTAAGATATGGGTTTATTGCTTTAACTTTTTTTTTTTAATCTGAGTAGGGTCATATTTTAAAGCTGTTTAAGTGCCTAAAGTTAGTTTCTACATGCCTAACCTCTCTTGTTATCATTGGGAATTAAGCTATGAGATGCTCAGAAATTCAGTAGGTATCTATCTATATTTTTAGCTGCTTAAACAACTTTGAAAACAGCTCATTGCAAGTTATTAGGAGCTTGTTTTTATTTTCATAGGTAATGGGAAACTGCACTCCAGTTGTTTTTTATCAAGAACTTGGAATGCTTGGCTTGTTTAAAAGTCAAGCACTAGTTAATAAAGTATCATTGAAGATTTTTGTAAACTAGGGACAGAGCAAGCCACAGTGCTAGCTGCCTCTCAACCACACTTCATGGTGTGCTTTGTTTTGTTATGCACTCATATATGCAGTTTCTTCGTGTTCTGTGGAAACATGGCAGCTTTCTGGTGTCTAGTGCTAATAATTAAATATAGATTTATATAAGCAGGTTCTTCAGCCTTCATGGAGACCCAGATACAGGCTTTTTCCACAAAGGTTTGTGTTGGGAGTGTGTATGCTTATCAGTCATGAGGTGAGCAGATGTTTGGGGATTTTTACTTAGATTCTTCCTTTTGACCTTTCAAAGGACAAAGTGGTTTTATTGCTGGGATATATTTTCTAATTAAATTGACATTGCCTTTTTGAGACTGTTAGACATTATTTGGATTTTTGCAGCTGCTCACATTCTGTGGAGGCAAGATAAGCCTAACAATGACAAGTAAACTTGCATGACCAATTACAATGGAAAACACAGCAAACACCTTACAAACAGTTGAGGAGAAGGGTGTAGGGTGATGCGTGTTTTGTTTCTCTTTCCCATATTCAGCTCTGTCCTTTAATAATAAAAAGTACTTTAGAGAAATTCTCCTGAAGATTGAGGAGTCTGGGTATATCAGTTCTAGAGAAATCTAGTTCCTGCCAGGCCAAAAGACACTGCTGTAATAAATGGCTGATAACGTTGGTCTTGCATTTAACTGTGTCATAGTCCTGAAACATTTTCTAGTCTACAGTGTGTCACGCACACTGCTGCATGCCTTGAAAAATCCTCTGTTTGGCTTGTGCAGCAAGCAAAAGAGTAAGTTTTTAAAGACAATATAGAGTGATACCCACTTAATATCAATGACTGATATTTTTCCCATTGGATGCCATTACAGTCAACTTGGGCAGAGTGAGGAGAAGCAAGTACTCAGTTTACTTCTTTGAAGTTGTTTGCCTGCAGACAGCATAATCCTACCACGTGTGAATGTGCACCCCTTCCATGAAGTTGAGGGAAGATTGGCACACCTCCACAGGGAGTAATTTTTGCCATGCAGTAGCCTTCAGCAGGTCAGCGACATGCTGTGAATTAGCAGGGATGGGGGTGCACCCATCCCTGTCTGCCACTTAACCTTCCAGCTAAAAAACCAATATGTTGCAGCTGTTTGCAGAATCCTGTCACAACAGTTTTCCTGCTTGTTTTAATAAATCTGAAAAGACAGTACCAGGCCATCTATAAGTAAATTGGGGGTGTTTTTTTGTTGTTTTTTTCTTTTCATCCAAGAGAATGAGCTCTCCTTATTGCAGACAGTGTTCTCGCATTTTTAGTGGTGCATGTACTTGTGTGTGTGTGAAATCAATGTATAAAAGGTATCTTTGGAAAACTAGGTAAATCATTCATGGCTTTAAATAAAACTGTAAACCCTCAAAAAAGTAACAGCAGCTTCTGCTGACAGAAGTGTATTACAAATATTTTCCTTGTCTTGCTGCTCCCTGGCTATTTCATGCTTGGATTATTACGTTAGCTGTATCCATAGATCTTCCCTTTGGCCACCTTTACCAGGCTGGTCTAAAGCTTATGGCTCTAATTTACCACTATCCTGGACTTATTACTTGTCCTGTTACACTGGATGCCCAAAAATCTTATTACAACTTTGGAAAAGAAAGGCTGAGGGCAATGATCTAGAAACGCCAGTCAATGGGAGCAAAAGCTGCTGAAGGGCTACATTTTGTGGAAGAGTTATCAGTATCTGGCTGCTTGTGGACTCTACCACTGATTTACCTCCTACCATTCTGCCCATCCATTCCTGCCCTAGCTGCTCTGTCTCTTCACATCAGCTCCCTGTTCCTCCCTCTCAAATGTGGAACTAATGTGCTGTTTGCTGCCATTGTAGGAGATGCTTTATGTATGCGTCGTGCTTCTCCCTGTGTTCTTTCCAGACCAGAAGCTCCTTGGGGACCATCATTTACTCATCTACTCTGCATTTGTACAAGACAGACCACAATGCAACTTTCTGGGTTTTTTTTTGTTTGTTTAAGTGGCTAGTGGGATCAACGTGCCTCAAGCTTGTCCTGTGCCTTCATAGGGGCCGTTATCTTACCACCATTTTTAAAATTATTTTTATTTTAAACTTTCTCTGTCCTTTATTTCAAGTATAAATTTAAACTTGTATAACAGTTTAATTTGAAACAACCCTGCCTGCAGACGTTACTATATGTGCCAGTGATGTTGCGAGGTCCACTTTAATGTGTGAATTAAAAAAAATCCCTTATCCTCTTTGTTAAAAAAAGGATCTCTTCCTTGGGGAGAAAGTCTCTCCATAGAAAAACACAGGTTTCAAATGGCATTTCCCGCTTAGATCTGACTATTTCTTCTTGCCCCAGGACAGTACTATTGTATTGCTTAGTGTTTTTACTACTTACATGGTCAGAGCTGTGTAAATTCTAATTACAGAATGGATAAAAATATTCATACAAGCTTTTTCCTGTTTTACAGAAACATATGGATGATGTAACTATTGTGCAGGAAAAAAAAGGAAACTGTGATGAAATTAACATAGACAAGGTATGCTTTGTCTTAATTGTGTAAGGTTTAAAGCAAGTCAGTATTTAATGTAAGCATAGAATTTGTAACAAAAACCCTGCTTTGTTGCTTGTCTATGCCAAGATTTCCCTAAGTAGAGCTCTGCTTAAAATGTGCTTTACCTTCCATGGGTTAAGTCCAAAATGTACAGCTCCAGTCAATATCAGAAGCTTCTAAGTAGCTTATTAGGTTAAATACAGGTTTCTTTGCCTCTCATCAATGTTGGCAGTTTCAGTGTAGCTGTTACCTGCAGTTAGAAGATTAAACGTATCTGATACAGCAAAATGTTCATTTAAACTACCACTAGAAAAATCACAGTTCTCATGTCGAGTGTGTAAAAGGATCAGATGCGACTTTTTAATTATCCTTACAAAATTCTGAAGGTAACCAATTATTTTATTCTTCCCTTTTCTTTGTGAATTAAATTGTCATTTAACACACAGAAGATAGTGTCTTGTGCTGTTTTTTCTGCATGCTAGGTGAGGCGGCAGGCTCTGCAAGAAGAAATCGATAGAGAATCTGGCAAAACTAAGGTTTTCAGTCCCAAAGTGGAACGGGTATGTATAAACTTAGACCTTGGTCTGATGGAAATACTGTGCTCCAGAGAAAGTTCCTGAAAAAAGCACTGCACTCTTTTTTTGTATGTGGCTCAGGTACATGGCTTGGCACAACAGTCTGCCTTCTGACTGTAAATTTAAGGTCATGCTATAGAACAAGTTAGTACAATTCCAAGAGAGTCTGGGAGCTGACCAGTGAACTCCAATAGCAGTTGGCATTGTACAGTGCTATAATTCCTATCATCAGTCCTCAAAAGCAACATTTTCTCTGGTTCCTCTGGAGAACGGGCCACGACAAATTGCTCCAGAAGCATTTTCTGCTTACTGTGAAATATAAATAATTCTAGGCTATGGATACAGCAGTCACTGAATTGTATCTGAGTTGTTATCTAGAAGACTTTGCAGACATTCAGAAATGGGTGCACATGGAAAGGTAAAAGGGATGACAACTGATAACACATATCTGTGATATTTACAGTCAGTCCTCTCCTAACTTCCACATCTTTCCTCCACCTCTTTGAAAGATGATTCTTTATTCTTTGCTTCTGCATCCTAGTCAGCCTGCCTCCTGACAGGTTTACAGTAAGGTAGTGGAAACTTTTGCAGTAGTGTTTAGCAGGGGTAATAAGATTCAGGAGGAGAGAAAGCTTTTTTAAGTAATTCAGGATGCTTATTTTTTTCACAAGACTGCCAGTATGCCTAGAAAGTTGGAATATACCTCAAACAAATGCCAGAAACAACTCCTGTAGGTTTTTTACATAGTGGGAGGCAGACCACAATAGCTCTGGAACTGCAACTATCTAATAGTCTCTGAAGTCATTGAGAAAAATGACATCCTTGGCAGGGGATCTCAGTTCTTTGGTGCTGATCTGTCTCTGCTTAGTAGTATGCAGAAGAATAGAAGCTATGAAAACTAATTCATCAGCTTCACAAAGAGTGAGCTGGAAATGCTGCAGCAAAAGCTATGTGTAGTGCCTGCCAGCAGTTCACTTAAAAAAAATTACAGGGTTTGACAAGCCATAATTATTTTTGCACCTGTGCAGATGTCTCCCATTCCAAAGGGAGGACATATATTTCTGTGTATGTGTGCATGTGTCCGTGTCATCGACCTGGGCTTATACAGCAACTTGTCTTTGAGCAAGGTAAAAATACTGAAGTATTATGGATAGCTTTCTTTTAATAGCAGGTATTCTGGCCTGTGGTAGTGAATGATACTCCAGCCTTGCATTTTTTTAACTTAAACCTGCTAGAGCTTGCCTGCAATAGTGTGTAGCATGCTGTGTGTCATGTTGGCTGTCTAGTGGAGAATGACTGTTTCATGCAAGCTACAGCTGTTCAGTTGGAAGGATTTCAGGCTTACATAAACATACCGCTAAATTCACATTTTTTCCTTTGATGTAGCCAGCTCAGTCTATTTAATTAGTGATCAAACATTCTTCCATTTAATATCACTCCCAGTTTTAACAGAAAAATTGGGAGTAGCAGTCCTGCCAAAAATAGTTATAAATGACTGCACAGCTCCTAGCCATAGCTCAGGAGTCAAGTAAGACCCTTAGATAATGAAGGCTGTTCTCAGGTAAGCCAAAAGTTCATAAACTTTGTAAACCATATGATTTATCTTGGGTTATCCACAAACAGCTGAATTCTGATTTTACTTGGACATTGCCTGTATTCTCAGAAGGAGTGAACTAGTTCAAAGAATGCAGTGAAAGGCAAATACAGCAAATACAAAGAATACAGCAAACTGCAAGGGAGGGGAGGCTTGAAGAGTATTACATTTAGTCCTGTTGGATAAGGGTATGCCCTCAGTTTTTGCACCCCTGCAATATTAGTGGTAATTAGTGGGATGAGAATGCAAATATTACTTAGAGCATATGAGCCAGATTGAATACCATCTCCAAAACTGACATAATAAAACACTGCTGAAAACAACAGCTATCTAACTAGGCAATAGGAAAATGAAAAGATAGCCGTACGAAGTGACAGAGTGAAAGAGGATTGAGTCTGACATTTGTCTTGGAATAAGAGAAATGATTGGGCAATGTCTGTCTCTTTGAGAAAGCAGAAGAGCCAAGATTCCTAAAGACAGAGGCAGAGGAGATTCTGAAGTGCATTAAACCCTGTCTCCAGGTTAAATGAACTGAAATGCTAATGAAGATGCACTCATGCAGGGTTATGTCATTCTTTCCTCATGTTCTCCGAGAGGTATTACCCTTGGAATGACTGCTTCCTGGCTTTGTCAGCTCTGTCAGGTTTTTTTAGCTGGTTCTGTTCTCATGGCACACAGCCAGAAATTGTCGTCTTTGGTCTTGGTATTATTTAATTTTAGTGTTAACCTTGTTTTGCTTCACAGGATACCAAGTTTGGCCAGTGGAGTACAGCTGCTTTTCAAAGTTCTGAGGAAGAAATGAAGTTTTTTAGACTGATGGGTGGCTTTAAAAAGGGCTCTGCACCTATCCAAAATCTCTCAGCAACTACAAACAAACCGAACATGGCTCTGAACAGGGAAGGGGAGGAGAGATTACAGCAGGCTCTGAAGATGGAATTCGATAAAGCAATGGACTTGAAGCAACATAGAGGAATTGGTCTTGGATTTCAACCTGCTGCCAACAAAAAAGTATACATAGACAAATATACATCGAGATCTATAAAATTTGAAGATTAAAACCCTGAAGTAATAAAAGGAATGAAAATTCAACAGGCGAATTTCTTTTTACTTGAAATAAAATACAAAATATTTAAGGAATTCAATTTATGAGACACTTTTAGTACAAGTTTTCAGCTGCATATGCCAGATATGTGAAGCTGGGTCCTCACTTGAGCTGAACAGTAAGTTTTTGAAACCTTTACAATGTTCTCTACAAGATATAGCCTCTTTCAGAGATTGAAGATAGGTAGGCAATGCCTGCAACAAGTTGAAACGTAGTAAATTTTTTTTAAATGCTGATTTCATAAACTTATTTTTAGCTACATCTTAGTGATCCTAAAGGATTTTAGTATTCTGTAAAATCTTCACGTTTTTACACTCAGTGAGTGGTACAAAATGACAACGTTTTACTTTGAAGAAACACTACTGCTACACCTACAAATTTGATGAGGGGAGACTTTAACTCAAAGTAGTTTCTTAAATATCAGCATCTTCATTATAATAATGAGTAGCGTTGAACATCCTCTATATTTTAACTATGCTCTGGCAGTTGGATTTTCAAGCAGCAGCTGTTACCTGTAAATGAAGGTAAACACTTTCTGGATAGCTGCATCAAATATATGGATCTAGACTTCCTAAATTATAGGAAGCAAGGTGATTTTAATAATGTGCTTATTGGGTTCATGATACATCAATCTGAATGAAATTTCTAACCTTTGGCTTTTCAGACAACCTGCACTTTCACTGGCTTTTTAATAAGAGTACAAAATATGAGACATTTGTTTACATCGTGTTCAGAATTTAGGGGTCCAAAGCAGTCTCTCAGTGTCTTGCTTGAAGTTACAAAAAGTGGAAAAACTGTCATGTATTTTATTACTGGCTGTGCCATTTGTAATGCGAGACAGTATTAAGTTTTAGTGTAGCTCTGTTTTTTAAGCAGAACAAGGTGACCATCTCTTATGTCCATGCCTGCTGTAGTGCAATAGTGGACGACTTGCAGGGGAACGCCAGCCTCCCAGAATTAGGTTACTACATCTACTTACCCGGCTCATTGTTGTTCTGCCAAATTACCTGTCCTTTTTGATAAGATCGTGCCAGTTGAACTACTAAATTCTTGTTCTTTTATGGCAAACTCACTTTCCACAATAGGCTTCTCCAGTGGACTGCTCTACCTGAAAGCAGCTGCCTCCAGCAGAAAATGCACTTAAACCAGCAGTTGGTTCCAGTGCATTTTGGGCAGCTCCTGAGTGGAAGTGAAGATTATGCAGGGGCTCCAGCTTAAGGGGTTGCCATGAATCCATTTCCATACCTGGGAAGAGAGAGATGCTGAACCACTTCCTGCAGGGTCTGAACTTGTCTTTGAGGAAACTTTGTCCTTTAAAGTGTCTTTTAAAACCACCACTACCTCAGGGTGAGTCTGTTTTGCACCAGTGCTCTCAAAGCTCAGTGGCTCGCTTCAGCCAGCCCTTCTAGGCTTCAGCTGTTGCTTTACTTAAATTCAGGTAGTGGAGGTTCTGTTTTCTCTTCTGATTTAAAACAACTGCTGAATTCAGGCCCCCCCCTCTTTTCCCGGAAAAAAAAAAAAAAAAAAAAAAAAAAGGAACAGGTAGGAAAATGTCAACTAGTGACTTCATTTAGGAGGAGAGGGACAGCATGTACAGCTTTCTGCTGCAGAGCCAGTCTTGGATGGGTAGTGACTGGTCTTGCACTGCCACTGAGAAGATGCTGAAGGTGGCATTAGTCCTAGCCTTGCCTTTGGATAAGGACCTTCCCATCTAGAATTGCATAACGTATACCAGTGTGTTGCTCGACTATAGCGTTGTGGATGACCTGGCACCTTGGTCTTGGTAATACTGTGCACATGAAAATGTAGTTTGGAAAATGAGACACGTACCTGGGGAAAAAACTCAGCTTTTTTCAAGCAGACAAACTTTGTCTGGCCTATTGTATATTTGCTATATACAGAAGAAAGAGGAGGTCTATAATAAGTAGAGTGCTTTAAATAAAATTAATTTTGCTCTAACATGGAATTAAGCCAAAAGCAGTTTATTAGAGTGGTTGTGTTAGCTTCTAAGGTAGGTGTTTAGAGTTTGCTCCTGATAACTAATCAGAGGTTTCTGCCTGTCATTGAGCTATTTTTGCACTAATAAAAACAGTAATAAAACATCTGAAAACATTTCTTATGGTGGCCTTGCATCAATAAGAAACCAAAGTTGTACTGTGCTCAAAAGAGAACAGGCAAAAATCGGTGCCTTCATGGGGAAGAGGAATGGTTGGGACATTTGTAAGCCTACTGTTAAGAGTCTCCATTTTACAGAATCTGGAACAACTCCACACCGGGTTTAAAGCAGTACATTTGGCCCCAGAGGGCGATTTCTTCCATACCACAGCTGCTTAGTGTGACCCACTTGGCGGTTTAGAAAGCTCAGAGTTTAATCCCACTTACCCAGTTTGTGGTTTATGTTTCCAAGCCCAACAGGAAGAATCATCTTATGTGCTGTTGAGAGTTGTTTTGTGCAGCTGCAGCAAGAAGGAAAGCTAAATTGAAGCAGGACATGGTAACATATGCAGTACTATCATTTCATTATCTATGTGCGCTTTATACAGAATGATTTAAGGAAACAGTATAGTTAAAATACCTATGTACTAAAGGTTGGAAAGGTTATGTATCAAGTTGATAATTAGCTTCATAATTAGCTTGTATTTCTGCAATTTTACTCAGCTTACATACCAAAGGGTCCTAGTTTGGTTCTTTACAACCTTAACACAAAATACATATTTTAGATGTACCCTGCTTCAATAACCACTGAGGAGATGAAAAACATGCAACAAGAATGGTTTAATGATTTGGGTGGTATTTATTATCAGCTTGCTAATCCTTAAATATATGGTTCTAGCAAGACTGATTACTGGTTTAGCCTTAACAAAATAAAACATTTTTGTGCAAAAATATATCTTCAATATCTGTATAAGGATTTAGCTCATTAAAATACTTATCACTAAGCAAAAGCAGCAATAGATGCAAGGTCTCAACATAGTTCCTTACTGTGCGACAGAAGTGGCGAGAGTGAAATTTTATTAGGTGTAATAGCAGTACATGTAACTAAATTCCACAAGGGTAAGGTGATAAATTTGTATACTCAAAGAAACTCCCCCAGAACAAACAAATGAACTGCAAATTGTTTTATTCAGTGACAGCGTACTTTGCGAACATAGAGTACTTTGCATACATTTCCATTTTCCTTTGCAGACAGCACTTAAATATTCCTTCCATTTTACAAAACACCACTGAACTAAAATGAAAGCATAAACAGACCTGTGAAAGTGTATTGTAGAAATTAGAACAGTAACACCTTGGCCATTATTTTCTTCTGCTGGAACTGACCAAATAAATGTTGGCAGCACCCCAAAGCAGAAAGACAACAGTTATATTGAAATGCTGATTTCTACACAGGAGAAAGACTATTCTGCAAGTGGGATGAAGTTTGGAGGCTGTGAATTGATCCGTACACATTATCTTCCTCCTTTGTTGCTAAAATGACAACAGATTAGATTTCAAAAGGCTTTTGCAACCATAAAGGTTCAAAATACCATTTACTGAATCTAAATCAGCATTTAAAATCAGAGTATAGTGGTAAAACTGGAAACAGAAATTCAGGTTAAATTATTGCACTCAGAACAGTTTTACCTTTACCTGTGTCCAAGTAAATCTGTCACACTAAGTAAAATAAAAATATGCTTAACTCCTCCAGTCAAAATCTAGATCAGTGATTTTTGGCCTTGGCTACATGCTCTCTTGTACAGATGACTCCTTGGGAATGAGGCATTAATCAGGTCCTGGACTGCAGAGGAAGCCGAAGGGCCAAGTCTGTGAAGTGACTCATTTCAGGTTGTTTGCTTCGCCTCTTGATGTATTCTAGCATTTTCACCTGGGTATGAAAAGAAAGATATTTTGAGATTTTTAGTGTCTTTCTCTTTCCTCTTTTCATAGGCCATCATTTAATCTATATGCAGGTGTTTTAACAGACACTCTCATGATTTTTCCCTAAATTTCACTGGCTACATGAACACTTGCAGTTCTTACTCCAGAGGTCATTATCATGTACATCTTTCTTAAAGGCTCTAGAATGCCCACACTTACACCATGCAGTTCCTCCACTAAATAAAAATGCTGTACTTCTCTTAGATAGTTTTCTGTACTGAAAAAAAAGTTATAGCACCTGACATTTCCAGGCTCCTTAATGTGTGAAATACATTTAAAAGTGCTAGAAAGATAGAGACCACTTGAAATAAGAGAAGCTGCTTATTCATTAAGCAGCATTTAAAAAATAAGGTGTTTTTTTTAAGCTCATTTAGTTTGGTTTTTGGTTTGGTTTTTTTTTTTAAGAGAGCAACCTGTAAAGAGGTTAGGTTTATTCAGATCAAGAAAATGTTACCTTTTCCCAAATGAGGAGTTGAAAAAGATCTTAAGAACTAAAATTTCTGTGCATTATCTGTTTTCCTTACCATAGTCTTGGTGTCAGCAAAGCCATGTTTCTGAGCAAGATTCCAGAGATTGACTGAAAGCTGGTTTAGTTTGTTGTTTCGTAGATCCCCATGAGCTAGAATAGTGTTAAAGAAATAGAGTGCCAACTGGCTTTGTCGCTTTAGGGTCTATAATGAAAAAAAAAATCCTGTATTACCATTCAGTCATCCCAAAATATCCAGCATAACGTTGCCAGGTTCTCTGAACTCTTAGAAGTGCAAGGGGCAGACACTCATTTTGTAATACACAGCAATGATTACAGACACAAGAATACAGGCATAGTTTTCATATTCCATTCAAAATGCAACAAGTAGTGATAGTCATGAATCAACCTAAGTTGCTGTAAATAAAATAATTACACAGAACTCCTACATCTCCTACCACTTTGGCACAGCACAGCATGTAGCTCTCACACTTTTAACTCAAGACTCCCTACAATTGCATAGAAATCACCCTCCCACTAACCGACCTTGCGCTTAGTTCACCACAGCTG